TGAAATGGGGGAGGAAAAGGAAACAAAGAGGAAATATATACGGCGTATCTATTCCTGTACTGAGTTAAATTGGGCAAATAGAGGAAGGAAAGTTAAGAGAGAATATACATGATGAAAACAATCAAAGAATGCTACTAGTTATCTGCCTTCGGAGAGACCAAAGTGTATAAATACAAGGATTTATTATATTTAGCAAGTTGGAGCAAATACAAAACCAAGCAAAGGAAATGTGTCTGTGAAGGCAGAGGAGACTCAGGGAGGGATAGGGGAGGGAGGCTCCTCAGACCGCGGCAGTGATGAAACAGGCCGTCCTGCTGTGGGCGGGGCCTTGGGATGGCATCCGCACTTTGTCAGAGCAGGTAGTCAGATATCAGAACTTTCAGGAAAACAAAACTTTTAGAGAACAGTTTTCATGTTCCCTGGGAAATTAATGCAAAGCGGAGCTCAAAGTAGTTAATATGGTGACAAATTGCATTTCCCAAATACCCGCATGTATGCTGTAGTTCACTAATCTACCATAAACTGCTGGGTTTTTCATGAAGATAATTATCCAAATCAAACAACCAGTCCTTATTATGAGACTCAGACCTTCTAAAGTTTTGGTTTAATGATAATAATAGTAAAATACTGTGATATGTTTGCTCCCATGAGAGAGAGCTGTGAATGACATGCTGAGGTTTGTATATGTTTTTAAATGTCCTTACTTGGTGAGATAAAAAGTGGGCAGCCCACTGTGTATCTCCATGTTATTTTTAAATTTTGTGAATCCTTAAAATTCCACATCCTGGAGCCACTGATATAGAACATCAAATCATATTCTCACAGGCAGAGAACACAGTAACATAGAAATCTGGAGGACTATTTTAAAAGCTTCAGATTTTAGACAATAAATAAATAAATACATAAATTCAAGAGATTGATATGACTTACAAATAACCTGGAAGGGTGGCCTTTTGAACTAATACCTGTGCTTTAAATTGGGGAGAGGAAGGAAGCAGGAGGGGAGTGGACTGGGAGATTCGAGACCATTTTCAAGGTTTCCTCTTGTGATTCAGTGGAAAGCATCTTCTTTCAGCTATGTTATGTTTATTACGGTAATGATCATTTAAAACTAGGGGGAGACTTAGAAATCTCAGAACATAAAGCCAAAGTTATTAACTAATCTTCAAGTTATTAATACTGACCTCTGAAATTAAATGTTCCCCTTTGTTCCTTTTCCTCTTGAAAGAAACAAGAATAACTTCCCATTTGTTTGCTATTAGTGATGGTGAACCTAAAGATAATTCAAGATATTAATATAGGCTTAGTTCTCAAAAACCTTCTTAATGAAAATGAAAAGACTTAGCCATTAATCAAAATTTAAAAATAGAGATAATTCCATAAATATGCAAATTAGAATATTAGCATAACATTCAAGTAACTGCAAAGGAAAGAATGTTCAGTCAACAAAAATATTTAGAATTGAGCTAATTTTGTCTAGCAATAGAGGTTAAGATTTTATATACTCACGTGTATTGGGTATATAGGATGTTTTCTGTTGCATTGATAAGATAATTATCCCCAAGGATTTCATCACCTTTTTTCCAAGTCACATTTACTGAATTCAAATCCCTAGATGTTGTTAACTGGCATGTGAGTTGTATATTAGAAGGTCTGTCTAAAGTGATATTTTTTTCTACTGGCATACTGGAATGTTCTATTAGCACAAAAGAAGACAAAACGTGAAAGTTACATTTGGGGAATATCCAACATACAATACATTTTAAGTTATTAAGAACAGTGTTCTACCAACAGTTTCTTAATGTAGCATTCATTTGTTTGAAGCATTATTCCTCTGTCAACATAGATTTGGTTACTGTTCTTATTCTCTTTCATAGGCACACCTGAAGACACATTTTCATCTAACATTAACAGAATCACAAAAGCCCAAGGCTGTGATATTTATCTCTTTAAAATATCTATAGCTGAAGGGAATATAGGCAGGAGAGCACCGTAAAACGTATGTGCCATATGCTCTGACAGTGTAGAAACAGCACAACTGTAAAAACAAACACACTGGTGGGGTGAGAATGGAGTGGCTGCTTTAACTCTTTTCAGTAATCATGTTGTTGGTAGTTACTACAAGAATGATTTGTGTGCAATGTAGATTTGAGTGATAGACTATATTTACCATTCCCAGTCTTCTTAAGAAGCTGGAGGGGGGCTGGACATAGCTATAGGTGTAAGACACAATTTAAATAAGCATCCTGTAGCTCCGAATTTTAACTGAATTTAAAATATCAGTATGAATTCATGAGGTATATACCTTAAAAGGACACACACACACACA